CAAATATTTGGCTATTCGAATGAATGGACAGAGAGCCCTGTAAGTGAATATCAGAACATACCCATAATAGACCAAGCATTAGAACCCAGAAATATGGATTCCCAGACCAGTGCCTTGTATTTTCTTAGAACTTCCATGTGCACCAGAGTCACCAGGGGCCTTGGTTGAAAATGAGGTTGCCCAGGCTCTCCCCGGGACGCTTTCAGGAGCTGGACTGGCTTCCTTCATTTTTCAGAGAGGAAAGAAGGCCTTCCCCGCAGAGCTTGGGAATTAGACGGGGTGGCACAGCCTCTACCACGTGGTGGGCACTCGGGCAGTGGTGGTGCTCTTGCTGAGAAGCAGCTTCTTGACCAGCATGGCTGTGCTGCTCCCCCCCCCTCCAGCCCCCCAGGATCCCCATTCAGTCCAGAAGGACCGATTGATGTGTCCTGTCCCATTACTGTGATGGTGGCAGCCCTGCTGCTTGCCCCCCGGGGGCTGATGCCCAGTCTTCTCTCTCTGAGGATGTTTCCCTGCATCTTTCCCGTGCCTCTGATGCATTCACGTGCTGGGAAGGAGGACTGGGGATGGGTCCTGTCCTTACTCCTTGGTGATGCTGAGCTCGGCCGTCAGGGCAGGCAGGGCAGAGTTGGCTGCAGGGTCTCCGCTCTGATTCTCACTCTGGACGGGCAGGGGTGAGGGCGTTCCAGGGGTTAAGAAGGTGGGCGTGGGCCCGAGAGAAGTGGGTCTCATCCCATCTTGTAAAGATTACGCTCCTGCAGCTGAAGTTTCCTCAACTGCAAAATAAGCATAATCGTAGTGTATGTTTCACTTAATCCCCTTGTGTGAGGATTAATCGATAATTTGGGAGCTGGGAGAACCTTCCAGACGAGGCCCTCCCAGAAGTCTACTCCTTCACAGTCTACTCTGTGAAGAAGTGCCCTTCCTTCACAGAATGTTCCAGAACCCATCACTTAGACATTTCCTTTCCCCAGCCCTACAGGGTTCCTTTGGCAGGGGACTCATCCCATCCTGCCCTGCACTGTGGTTGGTTGCACGCTTACTTTATTTCCAGCTGCTCCTACTGGGTGGGTTTCGGGGTCCTGGCCCACACCCTCCGGGGCCCGCACCTGCCTTCCCGCTGCAGCCCGCCCTGCGCCCCTTGTTTGAGGTTCTCAGAGCACCTCCCGACCTCTACCTGGAATGCCATCCCCCACACCCCAGATTTGCCTCCTCCAGGAGTGATTAGCACGACCGAAGGATTTCCAGAACGAAACGGTGCTTGTGAAAACACCCAATAACTAACGGTGGTCGCTGCCCACGGTCACTTTTGGGTGAATGGATGGTGATATGTGACGGTTTGAACAAGGATGGGGTCCTCATGGCTCGGGGCGGGTTACTGGGCCACCAGCTGTTTTTCCTCGCGGTTTCTAATACACACCCTGCTGCTCATTCCCAAGGCCCACTGCAAAGCTGTAGGAGTAAAGTGATTAGAGGAACTTCAGCTGTTTTGCTCCCTGTGAATGGCCCTCTTTCATCAGGATGTGTAGGGACAAGGGCCTTTTTAAACCCAAATATCAGGGAAGGACGAGAGTTCCACCAGAGCCATTTGCCATCTGGGTGGGAACGCCATCGGGACGGGGACTCTGCTTCCCTGGACGGCTCCGTCCAGCCTCTTCTTCAGACGCTTATCCTTCTCTGGAGGGTGGGAAAGGCAGGGGCTGGGGGCAGTTCAGTTCATGATGTGACCACGGCAGTCCCGGACCTTTTCTGTTGTACTGACGTCTGCACCTCCAGCCAGCCAGCTCCCTACTTCTGCTCTTCAGAGGTTTCCAGCCCAAGTTAGTAAGTATCGCCACCGCTGATTTCTGCCCCCCCCCCCCCCCCCGCCCCTGCCGTGTCTTGGTTTCTGGATGACACTGACTGTTGCTGCTCTGAGGGCTGGGGTTTCCTGGAGGATCCTGTCTGTCTGCAGTGCCCTGCAGAAATTATGAGCCCGTGTCATCTCCTAAAACCGGGGTCTGAGACATATCTGTATTGTGGAGATAAAAGCGGTGAGGATGGAGGAGGGAGGCCAGGGGCTGAACTTGTTCTTAATCCGCCGTCAGGACTTTTCCATTTTGTTTGCCTGGGTCTGACCTCCTGGAGCTTTAGTCGCTCTCTTCAGGGCACCAGCATCTTTGGGCAGAAGGCTGATTTCTCCATAGTTGGGATGGGTGGTTTGTGAGTTGGCTTCCTTGTCCCCAGAACCTAGTAAAGTACGAGTGCCTCCCACCCTCAACCCCGAAATGGATTTCGTAAGGGACTTCCTTCCCCGGCAGGGTGTCTTGAGACTGATGGATTGAATCGGGTTCTGCGCCTCTCGTATCAGAGCCCTGGCCCCTGGCCGGGAGAGAGTGTTCACGTCAGCCGCCCACAGGGCGCAGGAGGCTCTGGGCCCAGAGTGAGCTCAGAGCAGAAGACGGGAAACAGGGTCATAAAGAATATCTGTGTCTCGTTTTCCCAAGTCCCATGACTGCCGTGCTCTGTGGCCTCTCGCCTCCGAGAGTCATCCAGTGAGGTTTTCCTCGTGCTGTATCTGCTTACTGTCTCTGCAGATGCAGGACCATCTCACGGGCTTGGGATGATGTGTTGTTCTCTGAGCTTCCCTGCAGCTTCAAATCTCCTCTTTACAGTAAACGCCTGTGACTAATTTCGGGAGGAGGACAGAGGCACAGTGTTCAGGGCCCCCGTCCACACAGCCCCCTGACTTCACGTGTAGCTGGGAGGCTGTGATTCTGTATTGGCCTCAGGAACACTGAGGAACAACTGGCCTTGTAAGTGATCACGGGATAAAACCAGCCTATGCTTTTGCATTGTTCCTTTTTTTTTTTTTTTCCCCAAGGAAATGTAAGGGAAACCAAGGGGAATTTTTGCCCATGATTTCCAAGGCAAAGGTCACCGTCAATGGCTGGCTGTTTCCAGAGGGCTCAGGTTTCTGGTCAGTATGGATTTTTTTTTTCCTTTTTTTTTTTTTTAAACTCATGAACAAAAAGAGGTTGATGATGCCTTGCAAAGATTTTTTTCCCCAGCTGCTTCGATGAACTGATTGTTGTTTGAAGTTTCATGTGTTTTGGAGTCTTTTAGACAGTGATGAGAATAGGTAGTAAGTGATCCGTGTCTATCTAAAACAGCATAGTTCTGAAAACAAACTCAGTTGTAGGGTTTTAAGGAAGGAGTGGGTGATAAGTTTCGGGGGTGGAAAAGTGTTGGGTAAGTCTGCAATTTGCTAAAACTAGACAACCTGGATTTTCTGTTGGCCAATGGATGCTAAAGAGCTTTTTGTCTCCCGTGGGTAAGTGAGACTCACAGAAAGGATGCTTCTCGTTTCTTCCATTATTTATAGTCCTGGGCTCCTCACCACTTGAAACTTGCAGCACAGATACGGGACTCACAGAGTGGAAAGGATGACTTGGCAGTACATGCATGATGGTAGATGCAGAAGTGCTGTCCATATGTAAAGCGTTGCCTTTAGGAAGGAGAGAAAGCCAAGTTGTCCGTAACTCAAAGGCCTGGATGAGAGGGGCAGAACTGAAACCTTCATATTTGGTATTTGAGCCGTCATGATTTTTAGCCAGTGAGAATTTAACCAGAAAAATGAACAGATTTTATTGTGGACTTCATAGTATGGAAGACAACCATTTTTCAGTTCCAGGAGCTGCTGACTTAAATGCTAGTCCGTGTGGTGAGTTTTCTTAGCTCCTAGGGTTGTATTTTAGACTTAGCTGAGTTTTTTATTCCAGGATGAGAGTGTTTAACTACCTACATTAGCTGTCTGGGGCAGTGGTGATTTTGCTGTTTTATATTACAGAAAATGTCCTTGTGTTTCTGTCAGGAATTGCTTTGCTTTCTATTAAAAAAAAATAGCACTCCTGTTACTTAGAGATTTTTTTTTCAAATCAAATTGTTTATTGGTTGCTGAAGAGAGAATGAATGATTTGTATAGTTCCCTATAATTTGAACTGTGATCTTCTTTCACAAAATTAATAAACGTGAAATGTTTTTGCATTGTAAAGTATAGTACATGTTTTATATTACTTTGAAAATTAAAAAATCATTTATAAAAGTTAATATTTGCTCAATATAGTAATTTTGGAAGATGCTAAGAAATAGAAGATAATTATAGGTGGTACAACCCTCCCCCCACAGAAAAAAAAACACTTAATTTTGGTGTATCTTATGTGTAGCTTTCAGAGATGATGTTATTTTTAAATAATTCGTGGCAATTAATAGTTAATATAGTCCATTGGTTTACACAGTCTTAATTTCTGCATAAGATAAAGATTTTGTTTTGGTAGCCAAATCGTGAAAGTGAAATTTTTTATTGTAATTTTAAAAATTATATGTTGAATATAAATGTGATTGCTTTTATTAAAGTAACAAAGACCAAAGATTCATTCTGCTGAGAAATTCATTGGGTCAACTTGAGATTTTCTACAGGTTTTCCACACAGCAAGCTTGACTAAGTTAAACTGGTCAATAGCCACCCACTTTTCTTAAGATGCAAACAAATAGTGAAAGTTGATTTCATCTTCCTTGTATTCTGTAAAGGGAAGACACCAAGAAGCAGTGAGGTTGTTAAAAGTTCAGAGAGTTAGAAGCAAAGATCAACAGCAAGAGTACGAAAGATTCAGAAAGGGAGCCACCCTCTGCTCATCAGAGAGTTGGTCTCTATTTTTAGAAGATGTCGTATTACAGAGCGGTCCCTTTACAGCATCCTGCAGGATGGGGCTCCTAGCTCTGGAGGAGCCCACGGAGAACCTTGGGTGTTTTAGCCGAAGCATTATTTTATCACGTAAACTCTCCAGCAGCAGGCTTGTAGCAAAGGTTTGGGGGGAGTATGGTGTGAAATTACTATAGAAGCTATTTTATCCCATTTGCATTTTACATTGCCACTCTCCAGCCTTTCCTCTGCAGCATGTCTCTGCCCATTCTCCTCTGTGAATTCCAGCCTAACTGCGCTCTGGTTTTTTCCCCTGCAGCTTAAGTGAGAGTTTTTTCATGGTGAAAGGAGCAGCCCTCTTCTTACAACAGGGAAGCAGCCCTCAAGGCCAGCGGAGTCTTCAGCATCCCCACAAGCATGCAGGTGATGGCTCTAAATTGACGCTCTTACCCTGGGACTTATTTTCTGGGCCACAGAGGATCCCTCCATTACTGGTGGTGAGCACTTTGCTGGTTTTCAAGGCCAGGGAAATAGTGGAGCACAGGTTTGTAATGACAGGTGCAGGTAGACGCTCTTGAGCAGGCCACGCACGTTTTCCAGATGGCACCGGGAGCCAGCAACCCTTTGGCCACGGTGTCTACGTAAGAAGGTCAGCAGCTTTCTGTTTGGATATAAAGATTTCCTACTCAGTGTATCAGTTAACTGCAGATTTTAAGTTACAGGATGACTTTTTAACAAATGCACCAGAACGCCTTATAGGCAGATGTAGTCCCCTTGAAAATAACCACCCTGGGGTCCTAGATGCCTAGTCCATCATTTCTCTGAGCTTTTGGAAAACTCTCATTTGGGGAATTTCTTTACGAGCCTTGGGCATGTACAGGGGTGGGAAGTCTTTATTCTTTAACGGTGGGTTTGTTTTTTTGGAAGTAGACAGAAGTGATAAAGTGGGGATCAAACTGAGTATTAATTGAGGTCCAAAAGGAAGCAAATAAGAGATGCCTGCGAAGTAACAAGACTGGTTTTCTTAGGTGACTTGACTCTGAACCTGAAGGCAGTTTGGAGAGAGGAGTTCAGGAAACACTTGCGTACAAGTGGATCTTTGTAGCTGGTGGGGAGCCTCTGCAGGAACTTCTTGAACGGGCAGCACGTGTCGGAGTAGGAGCTGGAAAGGCCTCTGCCTTTTCAGAACAATGGCAGGTCAAAGCAGCTAGCAGTTGGGGCCAGTTATTTTTGTCACTTGGATCTTCTTGTTTGTCTCACCTCAAGTCATCCAGCCTCATTTGGGAGCTGAGTGCTTAGGTTAGAATTTCCTGTCTTGCATTTTATAGCAAACACGAAGGCTCAGTCAATATTTTCACATACTGATGTTTATAATCAAGATTTAGGTCTGTTTTAAGCTAAGGAAACAATCTTCCTGCCCAAGGAGGCAGTGTGTTTCATGGAAAGAATATTTGCTTTGGAGCCAGGCAGACCTGGCTTCTGATCCCAGTTCTACAGCTGTACAGAACCTTCATAGTCAACTTCTAAGCCTCGGTTTCCTAATCTTTACAACGAGCATCAAATATTGGTAACTCAGACGTCATGGAATTTAAAATTTACGCACATAAACGGACTTACCCTCTCTTAGGTGCTCAGCATACATTGCTGTAGTTATTGCTACGGTGACTGCTGGTACAATACCACTATAAACAGAACCTTTGTTCTTGAGTTTGCTAACGGTTCTGCCCTGTTAAGAGTGTAACTGTTGCTTGTGTCTTAACCATAACCTGTAAACAAAGCCAGTGCTCAGCTTTGTTCCCTAAGTATGAAATGTCTCCTTCCTCTAATTCAAAGAATATTTTCGTACTGTGTGTGAGCCTGGGGAAAGTGACTGCAAAACCGTCGTGTAAAAACCCTAAGTCCTGCTGGTTGGCACATCTCTGGCATGTACACAAGAGTAGGAAGGAAGCCTAGTGTGTTGGCTCTTCTGCCCTAGGGTCTAGGAGGGCTGGTGAACTCCAAAAGACGGGGGGCGCCCACTGTCCACAGATGCTCAGTAGATGACCCTGGGGCAGGCACAGACTAGACTTCACGTCAAGTCCCCTGGATGACCCACAGTCCCCTAAGCGAACCCCCATGCCGAGCCGAGTACAGTGGAGGGTTAACTCTGTCCATGGCAAGTAATTCAGCTCATGTCAGGCAGTCCAGTCAGGCTGAGCCTCACTCTTTCCAGGGCTGACCTATGCTTTAGGCTCACATTCTCTGCCTTTTTTTTTTTTTGCAAGTGCTTACTGAACACGTGAACGTAGAGACTGTGTGTGGCTACCAGGCCGGGGTTGGGATTTTTCTCTGTCAGCAATTGCACATCTCAGCAGACAGTCCCACTGTGTGGAAAACGTCCCTTTCACTGAACCCACTCATCAGTTAAGGGGTTGGTTTCTGCTTTCGTCTGTGCGCTGCTGCGATTCGGAGTGGCTCGTGGGGGTGGGGGTGGGGCCCAGGTGGGCCCAGAACCAGCCATGGTGGTTGTGTGCCATCCCAATCACGCTGGTGACATGACAGGTGAGGGTGCTGTCGGGGACAAGATGGGAACAGGGACCGTTACTTCCAAGTCGTCCCTCGTAGGACGTGGTGCCAGTGTAGGGTGTCTTCCACTGTGGGATCCTGTAAGAGAACAGACGAGGGGGCACGTTTTCAACGACCTGATTCCTCTCTGAGGCAGGAAGTACCATTTGGACATCATTTGTCAATCTCCCCTAAAATTCAAAGGACGCTTTTGCAAAAGGAACCCATCCAATGGATTGATTCCTCTGGGGTTCTAATTGTGATCTATAGGGTAATTTTTTTTTTTTTAAAGATAATTCTCTTTCTTCAGGGTGTTGCATAAATTGAAATGAATATGGATTTTCTATGAGTTACTCCCTGCACTTTCTTCTAGATCAGCATCTTTACAGATGAACCATTTCTTCAGAAAGAACCCCATGCAGACACTTTTTTTTTGAAATACACATAAGCTAGGAAAAAAGTGGCACTGGAACCACCCTCGCTACTTGCTAGTTACGAAGCTCAGGTACGGGGGCCCCTGTGCCTGGGACACACAGCCCTTCTTCGGTGAGGTGGATCCTGCGTAGCTGTGGAGACTCACTGCCTCAGAGAACCTTTCCTCCCGTCCCTATAGCCCAGAGGCACCCCTGGGACCCTGGGGCCGCTCAGAGATGTTCAAAAGCTGACTCTGGATTACTGCCTCTTTTTTTTTTTTTTTTTGTGCTACGCGGGCCTTTCACTGCCGTGGCCTCTCCCATTGCGGAGCACAGGCTCCGGACATGCAGGCTCAGCGGCCATGGCTCACGGGCCCAGCCGCTCCGCGGCATGTGGGAACTTCCCGGACCGGGGCACGAACCCGTGTCCCCTGCATCGGCAGGCGGACTCTCAACCACTGCGCCACCAGGGAAGCCCCATTACTGCCTCTTTTAAATAACCAAGGAGGTACAAAAAACGAGTACATAATTTTTAGCAAGAAAAAAATGACATTGCTGTTTAATCAAATTATGTCTCTGGGTACCCAGCAAGTACCTGCTCGCTATGGAGTCACTTAAACATTTCCCCTCCTGGTTGTAGAAGTCATGTCTCTCTCTTACGGAAAATGTAGGAGTTGAAAGCAGGAAATGACCCCCAGTCCTTTTTCCTTCAGACCAACCCTTAGCAAATCCCTGTCTTCAGCTGTGTCTATAGTTTCTGCTGCCCCCCCACCCCGCCGCAAAGTCATGTTTGCCTGAATTTAATAACATTTCTCCTCTAGACTTGTCTGCATTTTCAGATTTTCAATATGCAACCCGTATTGCAATTATTTCAGAAAATAAAAGCAACTTTTAAAAACGTGGCAATAAACTGTCTCACCCATCCTCATGCAGAACATTCAGGAGTGGACTAAGAGAAGTCCAGGTCTTCTTTCAGACCCTCGGAATCAGCCTATTCTAACCTATCCTGCCTAGAAAGTGGGTGGGTGACCTTTTTTAAACTTTCTTCATTGATCCAACAGGGGACCTGCCTCAACATCTTCAAGTAATGATCAACCTTCTGCGTTGTGAAGATAGAATCAAGCTGGTAAGAAGAGACGCGAGTGGCAAGTTTTAATTTTTAATTGTGAAATTTGGTAGGGACTTATTGACGAGCAGGGGCTTGGGGGGGTGGGGCTCTTACATCAGAGCAAGTTCTCCCAAACCGTTCTCAAAAGCCAAAGCCTGCTCTGCTCCTCGGTACCCAGAGGTGCAGACAAAGGGGGTGTCAGGTCTCTGGGTCAGTCTGTGCTAAGCTGGAATCATCATTCACTGGAATTTATTTGTTAACCCCTTTAACAAACTTTGGGGGTCTCCTCTGAGCCAGGTACCATCCCTCATGCTGGGGATATAAATGAGACCTAGGAGTTTTCATCTAAATTCCTAAACTCACGGGGGAAAGGTAGAAACAAAAGTCTTTGGTCTTGGATTGGTGAAGGAAAGGGGTGACCATCTGGCAAGGCAGGCCAGTAAGAGCATCTCTGCCTGTCTAGGCCGTGCGCTTGGAGAGCGCCTGGGCTGAGCGGGCCCGCTACATGGTGGTGGTGGACAGCAGCGGGCGCCAGGACACGGAGGAGAGTATCCTGCTGGGAGTCGACTTTTCCAGTAAGGAAAGGTGAGTCTGATGGACGGCGGCTCCTTTCTCTTATGGGGGCAAGAGTTGCTTCTGGAAGAAGGTTTTCAGGGTCCCACATCCACGGGGGCGGGTGATGGTAGGTGATGGGGTGATCAGGCACTGGGAACGGTGGAGCCCCTGATTTTAGCTCTTGTGTGCCGAGTGCTGTGCTAAGTCCAGTCTCTGCTCTCAGAGAGCTCAGGGTCTGCACTGTGCTTAGAGATTTAACCCTGGGTCCTATCACGGGTGCCCTAGAGGAGGGCACCTTAACCAGGAGGGCTTCCTGAAGGAGGTGACAGCTGTGGCGAACACCCCAGGACAAGCAAGAGTCAGCCAGGTAAAGCAGGAAGGCACCCTCCAGGCCGACCATCCCATATAGAAGTATGTGATTGATCGGCGTTGTATCGAGCGCCTTATGCAGTATTAATATCCCGTGGATTCCCAAGTACTTGTTGCTGGGTCCTGGGTCAGAGGCTTGAGGAGAGGTTTGGAATTTCCCAATAACTGGAGGCCAAGTTAGTTATATCATAGACCCTGTTATGTGTGCGAAATGAAGGTGCACGACTCTCCTTACATCTAGGATAAGTTAATGCGAGTGAGCTCATTGCAGAACCTGAATTTGTTAAAACTGGATTAAAGTAGACGCCCTTTAGTCATCATTCATTAATTTTCTCGTTCATTAAGCAAACCATTCATTTGCCTTCTCCTGTGTATGAGGCAATAGGCTCAGCCCAGGAAAACAGAGAAGCAACAGTAACCACGGTTCTCGGCCTCAAAGAGCCGGTAAGCTCAGGGAGGGAGGGAACCATCACCAGAACCTGGGGTGATGGGCCCAATGATGGGGAAGTGTGGGGTTCGTTCCACACTCGTGGCCAGGACTCCATTGCTTGTCACAAGTAAATGAACTAAAAGGGAAGGTGTTTCCTTTATGACCTCGTTCCCAGTACATAGGAGCATTCTGAGTGAGTTTCTGCAGCTCACTTAGGGGCATGAGTCCAAGCTGGCGCCCGGAGCCTCAGCTGGTGGGGAAGTCTGGATCTGGAAGGATTTGTGTCAGGACGTGCTTTAAGGGGTGAACTCCGAGGAGCCCCTTGGAGACCAGAGGGCTCCGGGCTCCAGGTTGGGATGCTCCCAGGCAGGTGCCCTCAGAAATGGCCGGGGCTCCATCCGTTGGTCATGAGGCAAAGAGACGTTCAACGGTGTTACGGTTATGTTTGTTCTTGGAGTGGCTGGCCGGCCTTTCTGAGGGCCTTTGGGGGCAGGACTTCCCCCACCGTGTGTCATCCATCCCAGCAATGCTCTCTGGCCCTGAGCTGAAAGCTGCCTCCCTGGAGAATGTGCCCATCGTCTCAGCCCGAGCCACCAGGGCCTCATAGGAGGCTGCCCCCCGCCCCATCCAAGTCATCTCTGTGGCTTTGCTCAGAGAGCGCAGAGCAGTTAACCCGATGCTTCATAAGCATCTCGCCCCGTGGGGTAGGCGGTCCTATGACTCACGTTTTACAAACAAGGAGTCAGAAGCCCAAGAGGCTGGAGTGGTTACACCAAGGCCGTCCTAGTAACAGAGCTGGGACTCACAATTGGGTTTTTATTGTAGACCTGTGGTGTAGACCCACTCATTCCCTTCCCATTCGTTGGCCCCTGTGCCCCCTCGTTCACCAATCTGTTCATACCGTCACGTTGCGTGCCCTTGTTCGCACACGCTTTCAGTGTGCCAGGTGTCCTGCCAGGTGCCCTGCCAGGCATGGGGGCTACATCGGTGGGAGAGACCGGCCTCTGCTCCCCTGGAGCTCACAGTCTAGATGGACGGAGGTTAGACACACGAGCACCCTGAGACCGTTCTTTACACACAGGCCCACGTGCTCATTCTCACCCACTCTCTGACGCGCCCTGCCCCTCCTCTGCCCGCTGGGCACCAGCCTCAGTTCTCAGCGTGTCCCCGCTCCCTGGGTCCTCTCGCCTCTGCTGCACACTGCGCTCAGGCCAGCGTCCCCTCCGCTGTCCCAGCCTGCGCCACAGCCCAAGCGCAGGCGCCAGCTCCAAGGCCAGTGCTGGTCTCCTGTGTTGGGGAGGTGGGTGAAGGGGCTTCAGAGGGTGAACGGGAACCACATGGACCTTCCTGTTGTCGGACCGGATGCAGCGTCCCCCACGCCCAGGCATAGGGGCCGGGAACTGGGCGCTTTTATCCATCTCCAGCTTGAAAACAAAGCCCTTGTCCTTACAGAAGCCTTTGGCCTGCTGAGAGCATGATACATTTGTTTTTCTAAATTCCTGCCATGAGATTTTGTTTCCTTATTCAAAAAAAGAGAGAGATGAGGTGCCCCCAAAAGGACTCCCCGCAAGGAGAGGGAGTCCAAATGCAGTGTCAGGAGAGAGCATGGGAATGACGCCAGCCACAGCGGGCTCACGGGTTCTCCCTTGGAGTCACATCTACACATGATTCCTCTGGGGATCAGAGCAGCTCCCCTGCAGGGGCCATCTGGGGTTATTTTGTTTCAGATTCGGGAACACCGTGGGTGCTGTGAGCACGAACACCGTCCTCCACTTGTTAGTGTTCTGCAGCCCGTAAAGGACAGGCCTGTCTCCTTCCTACACCTCCAGCCCCCGCGCAGGCCCCGCCCGCTTCTCTGTCCCTGCCGCACCGGCCCTGGGGACCGGGGACCGCTTCCTTCCCCTAGAGGTACCCCCACCCACCCGTTTTATCCTTCAGGGCTGTGCTTCCTCTAAAAAGACCCAGTTTCCCTGACCACGTGTCCCGTCCCCACTTCCCATATATATGTAAACCCACAGACCCTCCTTCACTGTAAAAATCTCACTGTCACTCACTACAGGACTAGTGGAGACTCACAGCAATAACAGATAAGGGGACGTGATGGAATTGGCACAGTTCTAACAGTCGTGTCCTGGTCTCTGGTCTGCACTCTTGACTCCAGGTTGAGACCCTGAGCGGAAGTCTTCCGTGGCCTTCTGCCCACCGTGTGTAGCTCTCACCAGGCTCTTCCCCATCTCTGCACTTAATGGAGGAGGGCAGTTTAGATGCTGCCCTGGTTTCCTAAGGACCGTTTCGTCTCCGCCTGCCCCGGACCTGGGCCTGTGGCTCCCCAGTCTGTGCTCCTTGTAGCTCTCTGTGCCGTTTTCTCTCCTCATTTCCAGTCCCTGGTGTGGGTCGTCGGTGCTGAAAAAGGGCGAGTGTCCAGGTCTGCCCACACCCTCCCAGGGCACCCTCCAGCCTGGGCTTTCTACATGTCTGTCTTGGGCTCCCAGCGGCCCCCTTCTTGCCCCTCCCCAGTGCGACACAGCTGAGTAACCCTGGGAGCTCTGAGTCTCAACGTCAATTTTATTTTGCAGCTCTACAAAGGAAACATCGTTAACCCATCAAGAATGTGTAGGACAAATGTAAAATAGTTAGCTAGTGGGAAGGAGCCGCATCGCACAGGGAGATCAGCTCGGTGCTTTGTGACCACCTAGAGGGGTGGGATAGGGAGGGTGGGAGGGAGACGCAAGAGGGAGGGGATATGGGGATATATGTATA